TTATTGGACCCAAACCACCAATTACTCTCAACTCTGGTGCAATGTTGTTAAATGGTTTGCTGAATTTACCATCGACGTATTCAGAATTGTGTCGTACTTGCTCTCGATTCCAATTGAAGAGTTCTTGTGGTTCAGATTTTAGACTGTTTGAATATTTGCATTTTAATGACGATGGCTGTGGTGATGTGGAACTTTTTATCAACTCAACTGCTTGCTGACTCAATGAGGTTGATGAAGAAGATTTTATCATCTTTCTTTTAATTATTCTGGATGTTTACTTTGGAGACAAAAAATTGATTGCTAAGATTTGCGTGGAGAAAAATTCAATTTTCATTAATTGAACTGTTTCAGGGTTAAGAAAATATTTTTATTCAATTAATTTTAAATGTGTCAGTGCAATGGAGATGAAAAGAAGTGGAATTAATTGAAAAATTGTGAAAGAAAAGCTTTTAATTTATCAAAATTTTAAAAAACTAGTGTATCGGGTAGAAACTCAATGCGGATTATATTTACACCGGACCATCAAAAGTCTTATGGATATACCAAGATTTGCCCAGTATAAGTATGAAGGTATGAAGCTTGATAAGTCAACTGAGCTTCGCTCAGCATAAGTTTGAAGGTATAAAGCTTAGCGAATGTTCACTAAAGTTAAAAGTTTTTTAAAAAATTTTTTCATCCAAAGTTTAATTTTATAAAAATCACAGTCAACTTGTGTTTTAAAAAATTCATAAGAAAGGAAAGTGATTTGCTTTTTCTGAAGCAACGGCTGTTCCTACCTTGCCCAAAAACAATACAGCTCTTCTATAGAGCAGCACGGATCAGATGTAAAAAACTAGAAGTCTCTACGATGTCTCGTTATTGAGATTTCTTGTTGATTAACTTGCTTGCTTGCTTGTTTGCTTATAGAAAGCGTATTTTCCGATTTTCTCAGCAATGCCTCAATCAATTTGAAATCTGTTTTTTGAAAATGATGTAAAATTTCAGGCACAAACTTTTCTTCTCGGACCTTTTATAACCAATTTTGCTTCGTTTTCTCACAAAATGCGAAAAACTGATTTTTCAATCTGAACAAAACCACAGGTGAAAACGGTGTGAATATAAAAACCTTAAATTTTGAAATTTTTTCGCAAATTTTGAAAGGTTTGATGAAAAATTTGAGTCCCTATTAAAATAACGAATTTCAAAAATTCGAAACTTCATTTTTACGAAGCTTTATTTTTCCGAACATATCATTTTTCCGAGTGCCTATTAAAATAACGAATTTTAAAATTTCGAAACTTCATTTTTACGAACACTTCATTTTTACGATCATATCATTTTTACGAAAAATTATTTTTTCGACTTTCTTTATAAATTTTAAATTTTGAAATGTCGTTAATTTCATCACGTGTTCTCTTCAATAATAAATCTGCAAAAAAAAGATTAATAGAACAAATGTTTTTAAATGTATGGAATTAAAACGTATTTTTTTTTTCAATATCACATTTTATGGACTACATGTGTATGTTAAAAGGAGCAATAAACACAATTAAGCTCTTAAATCATTTTTGACTACTGCAATAGCCTTTAATGTTTCAATGGAAAGAATTTGTGTCCATCGAAATGGATATCGACAAATATTTGGCTGGAAGGCAACAAAAGTATAGAATGCCAGGTTTTTAAAAGACAGAGAATTCCATTAAATCAATCCTGAACCGTCGACAATCCGTGCCACGAGTTGAAAGATTAAAGGCTATTAATCTTAATAAAGGCAAGTAGTCAAAAATGATTTAAAAGCTTAATTGTAATTGTAACGAATAAAAAATACGTTTTAATTCCATACATTTAAAAACATTTGTTCTATTAATCTTTTTTTTTTGAAGATTTATTATTGAAGAGAACACGTGATGAAATTAACGACATTTTAGAATTTGAAATTTATAAAAAAGTCGAAAAAATAATTTTTCGTAAAAATGATATGGTCGTAAAAATGTGAGTTCGTAAAAATGAAGTTTCGAAATTTTAAAATTCGTTATTTTAATAGGCACTCCATTTTTCCGAAAAATTCTTCATGCAATTTCATATGATTTTCAAATTTTAAAAAACCGTTGATTTTATTAAGCATTTTATTTTCGTTGTAAAAAATTTAAAAATATATTTTACAGTTAATTTGTCTTCTTATTTTGAAGAACAAAGCTGATTTAATTGTTGTTAATGTGAACAACCAGTTTATTGTAGAAAACATTTGAAACTTGATGTATAGTAGACTCAACGGTTTTTTAGAATTTAAAAAACATATGAAATTGCATGAAGAATTTTTCGGAAAAATGATAGTTTCGGAAAAATGAAGCTTCGTAAAAATGAAGTTTCATAATTTTAAAATTCGTTATTTTAATAGGGACTCGAAAAATTTAAGTTTTTTTGAATATTGTTCGATCGTTAATCTTCAAATATTTTATAACCGTTATTTTTCAAATTTTTTATACCCGTTATTTTTTCAAATACATATTCAATGAATCATTAAATAGAAATTAACGAGCACAGGTCAAAGCCTCATTCTATCCTGCATCTCTCTATCGAGATTGCATTTTCCCAATGACAAAACTTTCCATTTTCTCTCATTTTTAAAAAAAACTTTCACATAAATTTTCTTAAACTTTTTATTTTAGAAAAATAATTCTGTTAAGTACCAGATGGTTCCAGTCTGATTGTCATTTTCAACATTCTATCTGCAATTTTACAGAAAAGCTTACAGCGAAAGTTTTTAAATTCTTGTAAAAGCATCAGCACCGCAGCTTTAAAATAAACTTTCTTAAGTCCCTAAAAAATTATTTCTTGTCATCGCCTCGTTTAAAAAACTTTAAATATTCTATTCTAAAAAGTTTCATTTTTCAACTTCAACATTCTTCTCATCTGCATCTTACCTGATTCGTATGCATCTTTGTGAACTTATTAATTTTTCTTTTTTTTTTGTCTTTCACCTGAAACGTATGCAAGAAGAATCGCTGCAATGGAAGATTAATTTACAGCAAAGATTACAGCTGATGTGGTGATGCGACGGATGAGAAATTAGAGAGATTTGATATTAAATTGTGCACTTTAAGGATATTCTATATTCTGGTGTGAACTTTGATTAAATGATGAGGATTTTTGGATGGAATTTATGGGGATACATGAAGGATTTTTATAATTTTAATGGAACTTGATGATAGAAATACTGACGTGAGCCAGCAACATAGAGGTTCCTGGCCACAATATGAAGAAATTGCAGCAAGTTTATATATGACTCGGTGGCTTAGTGGATAGAGTCCTGGTCTAGTAATCAAGAAGTCACCGGTTCGATTCTCAATCGAAACAATTTTTTCCACATTTTTAATTTTTTCACAGTTTGAAAATTAAGAAATTACTTTTCAAGCTTAAAAATTTTCACTTCATCATATTCTCATCATTTCCATTCACATCCAGCTCAATCCCTTCATAAACATTATTTACGATTAATTTAACATGTCTCGTTCTCACTATATTCCTTCTATGTTTGTCTGTACATCCATAAATGCTTGCTTTATAAAAGATTATCGTCTTGTTCCTTGGAAACTGTTATACTGCAGCATATGGCTTACAAATAATCATATAGCATGGCATGTTGGAGTTATTTACAACCACACAATATAAAACTTACTTACTCTCTCATATATCCAAATGTGGATGTAGTGAACATTAAATGAACAGATAGTTTCGAAAAAAGGCAATGAAAAACAGAAACAGAAGTAATTTTATGACGCAAAAATGATGCTTTTTGCAAAAAATTGTTGGCTATAATCATTTAAGAATTACAAAGCAATTATTGCAAGATCCTGGTTGGAATTCGAACTCAAGTCTTAAAATTACCAAATTATTTCCTTTATTACCCTGCAGATAAATTGTGACCCATGTCCTCCCTCAGATGCCACCTAAATCTGGCTTTATCGTTGATTACAGCTTGCAAATTTCAAATACCAACTGTCTCATGTATTAATATTTTCAATTTATTGCAAATTAGTTGAGATTGTAATTGTAAAATGATGTGGCTTAAAGGCGTAGTGGTTTTGTACTTTGGTATTAAGTATCTATCACACCAACCTAGCGATCACAGTTCGAGACTCATCACTAGAAATTTTTCATTAATTCCTTTTTCAAATTATTATTATTATTATTATTATTATTATTGTTTATTATTCTCTTCTTAACTTTTAAAATTATATGTACTGAAAATGAAGCTCACATCCCTTCTTTGTCATTTAAATCTATAGGTTGTCTTCTTTGATGATTCTTTGGTTCCTAATCCAATTAAAATTGTAGCTCTGAGTTTGAGCGAGTAGTCTTGCGAGTTTTGACTCATTGATTTGATTTTAATCAGACATCATCTTAATTGACATTTAGAAGGAGTGGGGGCAGGGGCGTAGCCAGAAATTTTTTAAGGGGGGGGGGCCCATTTTCGAAAATTAAAAAACCGTTATTTTGTATTCTTAAATCTATATTCATTCTTCATAAGTTTAAATATTTAATTCATTACTCATACATTAAATTTAATTTTTCGTGCTGATTTTGAAATTTCTTTCATCATTTCCTCTACATTAACTGGTTCTTCTCTATAAATACTTAATAAAACAATTATCAGATTTTCGTAGGGGGGGCCCGGGCCCCCTATGCCCCCCCCCCCCCCCCCACTGGCTACGCCCCTGAGTGGGGGACAGTAAAAAATTCTATAGTAAGAACTTGTCAGACCTTTTCACCCAAACCTTATTTTACAGTTAATAGTGTAGAAGAAGTGCAATTCTTCCCACTTCTTCGATGACATTCTAGGGTTGTCGCTAAAGCAAGATCACTAAAGTATGAATCTACTCAATATGCGCATATATACTTTAAAGATTATTTAAAAATGAGATTAATAAAGTCTCTCATTAATTCATCACAATAAAATCCTCTTATCTCTTATGAGAAATGGATTTAATAAAGTGCTGAGTGCATTAGTTGTAATTTAACTTTGAGTGAGAGCAAATATGAAATATTTTCTAGTTTTTATTTTCATAAACAAAGTTTTGTTATTTCCAATAATCAATGAGAGAATTGTTTATCCTGACGAGTTCAAGGAACTTCAAAGTGTTGAGTCTACAGGATATCAAATGAGTCTCTTAAATGATCCAAATATACTTCAATCTGACAACATGACAGCAGAATTTTTGATTTATCAAGATGGATTTAAAAACCTTGAAGATGGTGAATACTTTCAAGGTGACATGGTGATGAATGAAGAGCAGCTTAATACTATTAATGATACTAGTGATCTGTCACTTCGAACTGGGATAATTAATGAAAGATTTAGATGGCCAAAGGATGTGCATGGAGATGTTATAGTACCTTTTAAGATATCAAGTGATTTTGGTAAGTCTTTAGGATGTGTCAGGACAAAAGAGAATCTTGGGTATTTAGGTTTATGTTAGCTGTTCTGCTAATACGAGAGGATCGCCTCAGTGGCTGAAAGGTTCGGCAACAGACCATCAATTTATAACTTTCTGTATTCCTTGGACATGTGTTTGATTCCCATCAGATTCCGATTCTTAATAATTCCCCAATTATCTAATTTTAGACTGGATAGACAGAGCTCGTATCAAACTAGCTATGTATGACATTGAGAAGTATTCCTGCATTGTTTTTAAACAGCAAACAGACCAACAAAATTTTATCAACATAACATCAAACATTGGATGCTACTCACATGTTGGAAAGATTAATGGAGGTCAAAAACTCAGTCTTAAAATTGGTGGATGTCTTACTCGAGGCACCATCATTCACGAGTTGATGCATGCACTAGGATTTGACCACATGCAAAATCATGCTGACAGGGATGATTTTATAGAAATTCTATGGGAAAATATCAAACCTGGAAGTGAGCCTAATTTTGAGAAAGTAAATTCACGTTTGTTTGGGAACTTTGGAACACCTTATGACTACCACTCAGTCATGCATTATGGCTTGAATTATTTTTCAAAAAATGAAAATCCAACGATTGTGTCGAAAAGTACTTCTCATAATAAAGTCATTGGAAACAGGCTCGCAATGAGTCTGGGAGATGCACAGAGACTAAATGCGATGTATAAGTGCACTAAAAAGAATGTCCACTTGCCTGTTGCCGTTGCATCAGCCATTTGGAGGGTCTTTGATTCACATTAGACCTATCAGTTCAAGATTTAAAGATTTTCGAGGGGTTGTTCACCAAATTCGAAAAAGTTTGAGAAGCACTGATCTTAGGAGAAGATGCTATGATTCTGAGAAAAACAAGAAATGGCAATACTTAGAATAAAATATTGATAATATTTAATAAATATTTAAAAAAATTGTGTGATTTTATTTTACACGCGGCCTTTCCAGGAATGTAGACCAGTTATGACCAACCTATGTACCGTGGCACACTTGTGGAGAATAAGAAATTTCTCGAACCGGACACCGGTTTCGGTCATGGCTTACAACCAAGATGTGCCATAGCACAAAAAAGGTTGTGCACCTCTGATTTAGATAGAATTCATTTGAAATGAAGGACAGGGGCGTAGAGGAGGAAGACAACTAGGTCCCATTTATTATGAGTTGGGGGAGGTATTGATTCTTAAATAGAAGGGGCACATCTTTATCTCAAAAAATCTTACTATATCCCCCAGCTCTTGTCAACAACAGATAAGGAAGGTCCAAAAAACCATCCTATTGATGCCACTGGCTATATCATCATCTTCACTGTTCAAATCAATTTAAACCATGATGAAATTCAAGCAAAGTATCACGTTGAGACTCAATCTATATTTCATAGCACATGAATTTAATTTTAGTTTAATGTTGCAGTCAATCGAGTTATTAACCTTTAAATAAAATGAATAAATTTTTAATTTTAATATTCATCTGTCGAAGCTTTGGATATCCAATGAATAGTGATAGAATTATATTTCCTGATGAATTTAATAACCATCTTACTGGTGGAAGTGAAGATGATCTGGAATTTGATCAAATGACGAAAAAAAAAATGTTAAAAAAAACTTTTTAAAAAACACGCTTTTATCAAAAAGACTAAAAATCAAAAAGTTCAAAATAAAATAAGGTCACACTTTTAGCGAATCAGGATTTTAAAAATTTTCTTGTGACAACTAGAAATGTAACATAAATTTTTTTCAAAATATTGTGATTAAGTCCAAGAACACAATGACTCTATAAGCGTGGGGCGTAATTTAAGGATGCATTTCTTAGTTCAACTAAGTTCTTAAGTAAGAGAAGCGTCAAATCTCAAAGCCCCACGCTTTTCGAGTCATTGTGTTCTTGGACTTAATCACAATATTTTGAAAAAAATTTATGTTACATTTCTAGTTGTCACAAGAAAATTTTTAAAATCCTGATTCGCTAAAAGTGTGACCTTATTTTATTTTGAACTTTTTGATTTTTAGTCTTTTTGATAAAAGCGTGTTTTTTAAAAAGTTTTTTTTAACATTTTTTTATTTGCTCCTTTTTTGGTCGCTTCGTTTTTATTCTCAACAACAGACTTAACTTCAAGAAAAAAATGTTATTCGTTCAACGTTTCGTTCAACTTTTAATATATTCCCATTTTTTAATGGGTAATTAGTAACGACTGTCAGGATTTTTCATTCGTTTTTATAATTTAAGTCATACCTGGAAACACATAAAACTCTTCCAAAAAATGTCCTGAACTTCAATTATGTGCGTTTTCTGTGTTTTTTAAAACATTCATGAGTAAAGAACATTAAAAATCAATCGTAAAGATTTTGTGTTTATCCGTACCATTCCTATTACATAACGTGTGGATTCTTAACATAAAGATGCAAATCACATCTATATGTAACGTATTTATAACGGATTTTTCAAATTTAAATTCAATGAATGTCATTCATATGTTATGCAAAATTACGTTAAGCCGATAATAAATAGAAGTCAATTTAATTAAATTGGTGAAGTGCTATAAATATTGTAATGCATTTAAAACAGCATACGTTTATGCTCAAATTATGTGTGCTAAATGCACATCGCATATTAATAGTTATTTTGCATTAATTCGTAACGGACTTGTGATTAACGGTTTTTTTGAAAATTCAAATTTTCACTTACGGATATTCATGAAAAAATTACTTGTCAATTTTTTCATCCTCCCAGAAAATCTTCAACTTCTCCAATTATTAGTATTATTAATAAATAGTAATATTAATTAAACTATAGTGAATCATATAAATGACTTTTGAGCATTTCAAGTATAATATTTTAAACAAATCAAAATTTTATATCATTGACATTGGATTTTTTTCCCATATAAAAAAGTTTTATTAAAATTGTACTATAATTAAGCATTTGTGTGCTTCTAAAGTGTTAAAATATTGTATTGTCACCGGGAATACGTGTGTATACAAAATTTGAGCTCGATTGGAGCAATAGAAGTGGTCGAAAAATCGATTGCAAGATTTGAACGTGACATACAAAGAAACCAACAGAGCAACTCAATAAAAAGCGTGTAATATAATCAAACCAGACCACACGTCAGTTGAATTTCTTTTTAATCAGCATGGAGTTAAAAATTTTGAAAATGGTTAATACTTTCAAGGTGATATTGTCTTATTAGAAGAACAATTACAAAGGATTAATGATACTGGTGAATATTCGATAAGAACTGGAATTAAAGCAGCAACATATCGATGGCCAAAAGACAGCTCTGGAAAAGTAAACGTGGCTTTTAAAATATCTGAAGATTTTGGTGAGTTTCAAATATTTTAAGATCGTTATTTTTTTTAAATATGAACGTTAATGGAGAAGAACGTCGACTTGAAAAACGTTCATTTCGAAATCAAATTTGTTTGACCGATTTTTACAAAACATGCGTTCTTTTAGAAAAATATTTTCCACATTAAAATCACAAAGTTTTAATATTTTAATTGAATTTACACAAAATGGTACGAGAAAAACAACAATTGAGTGACTTCAATTAAAATATTAAAACTTTGTGATTTTAATGTGGAAAATATATTTCTAAAAGAACGCATGTTTTGTAAAAATCGGTCAAACAAATTTGATTTCGAAATGAACGTTTTTCAAGTGGACGTTCTTCTCCATTAACCAGAGGTCGAAGCGAACTTGGTTCGCCAAGTTCGCTTCGCTAAAAATTCAACTTGCCAAAGTCGAACTGTAGCGAGAAAATTTTTTTTCTATTCGCCTTAGCGAACCATAGCGAACTCAATTTTATTTTTTTCGCTTTAGCGAACTATTAGCGAACTTAATTTTTCAAAGTTCGCTATAGCGAACTATTGGCGAACTATAATTTTTTGCAATTTTGTATGAAATTACATACTTCACAAACGCAATCAGACATCTCTTAATATGAAGCCAAAAAAATTTTTCTAGTTCGCCAATAGTTCGCTATAGCGAACTTTGAAAAATTAAGTTCGCTAAAGCGAAAAAAATAAAATTGAGTTCGCTATAGTTCGCTAAGGCGAAAAGAAAAAAAAAAATTCTCGCTACAGGTCAACTTTAGCAAGTTGAATTTTTAGCGAAGCGAGCTCGCTAAAAACTCGCTTCGCTATGCTCGCTTCGACCTCTGCCATTAACGTTCATATATTTTGACCAATTTTGACCATTATTTTTCAAAATTTTTATGACCGTTAATTTTAAAATATTATTTGACAGTTATATTTTTCAAATATTGTATGACCGTTATTTTTCGAAAATTTTAGATTCATCCGATGAGGCTCGCATCATGTCTGCAATGTCATCCATCGAAAAGCACACATGCATTAGAAACAAAAAATCCAAAAAGATTTTATAAGAATAGATTCAGGCGTTGGATGTAGTTCATATATTGGGAAGATTGGTGGTCCTCAATCTATCACTTTGCAGCGCATTGGATGTCTCACACCTGGCATTATCATTCATGAGCTAATACAACCACTTGGATTTAAGCATATGCACAGCCATGTAGATAGAGATAAGTACGTAAAAATTAATTGGAGTAACATTGAGGATAAGGAAAAATCAAACTTTTATGTCGTGACTTCAGAAAGCTATGATAATTTTGGAACCAGTTATGATTATTATTCAGTCATGCATTATGGTGGAACTTCATTTTCTGCGAATAAAGAACCGACAATAGTTCCAATTAATTCAAAATATAAGAAAATTATAGGGCAACGAATTGGATTAAGTAAAGGAGATAAAGAAAGACTGAATAAAATGTACAATTGTGATATTTGACCTCAAGCTACTAAATTTTTCCAAAAAAATGAATTTATTTATGGGAATTCCCAATTTCAGCAAGAGATTGACTCACATGTGTTCCTGGAAATTATTAAATACTCTCTTCTTAAAATATTGTGTCGCATGAAGATTGAACCTCAGTCTGAATTAAAATTCAAAGTTGAAACAATGAAATATTTATTAATTTTGTTTATTGTCTGTAAAATTTCATCCACTCCTATTCGCGATAGTCGCATAATTTATCCTGATGAGTTTGGAAATATTCAAATTGATAATCGAATTGATGACACGGAATCTGATCAGATAAGCTTATTGAATGATCCTAACATAATTAAACCAGCAAATGCAACCACAACATTAACTAGTCAGCATCAAAAAAAGTTAAAAAATCCTGAAAATGGCGAATTCTATCAAGGTGACATTGTCTTACTAGATGAAGAGCTAAAAAGCTTGCATGATTCCAGCGATTGTAAAGCAAGAACTGGATTATCAAGTGTTTTGAAACGATGGCCAAAGAACTTATATGGAAAGGTTATTATTCCTTTCACAATTTCCGATGACTTTTGTAAGTTGATGAAATATTCAAAATATTTTGCGGGGGACACAACTAGGTGAATAATATTATTCTGAAAAATAACGCTCTTAGAAGTCGACTTTCCATCTGCACACTCTTGAGCGAGACAGTCCCGCTTTTTTTCTACCTATTTTTGTTTGAAAATGTTTGAAAATTTGGTCTTCCTAGCTTTTTGACCAAAAATGGGCAAAAACCGATGGACAGCCCACTTAGAAGTCATATTTTTCGATTGTAGAGTTTTTATGAGCCATGAAAGTTGAAGAAAAACTAAATATTTCGTAGTTTCACACCCCTTCAAAGTTAAAAAGAGTGGCAGTTTGATATTTTAGGAAAGATTTTCGGTTTTTGGATGGTTTTGATGAAGAGGGGGGGGTGGGGGGGATAATTGAACAGTACCCCCCTTTTCCCCTCAATGAAATAGGTTGAGTTTTGACTTTTGTATGTCAACCTACGCCCAATGCTTTTCTAGGAGGGAGAGGGGGAGGGGGAGGGTGAATTGAACAGACCCCCCCCTTCCCCCCTCCCCCAGAAGAGCATTGGGCGTAGATTGACATACAAAAGTCAAAACTCAATTTTTTTTGGGGTGAATTGAACAGACCCCCCCCCCCTCAATGAACTAGGTTAGGTTTTGACTTTTGTATGTCAACCTACGCCCAAAACCTTTCTAAGGTTGGCTTTTAAATATCTCTGTTTCTTACCATTCCGTTGCCCTGTCTCCTTTTAACTGTATTTTTATAAACCTTCCTTTAATCACTTTATTTCCGAAAAATTCCAGACTTTAATGACAAAGCAAGTATCCTCTCAGCAATGTACGATATTGAGGCACACACCTGTATTAAATTTATACAACGTAGCTATGAACATGATTACATCTATATAATATCCGATACTGGATGTTATTCATATATTGGAAGAAAATTAGGGCCTCAAGTTATGAGCCTTCAACGAGATGATTGCATATCACATGGACACATCATTCACGAATTAGTTCATGCTCTTGGATTTCATCACATGCACAATCATATTGATAGGAATAATTACGTCACTATTAATTATAACAATGTTGATCCGAGTAAGATTAATCAATTTGTAGCTGTAGATCCTTTGCTGTTTGAGAATTTCGGAACACCTTATGATTACTATTCAGTCATGCACTATGATACATACACATTCTCAAAAAATGGACTGCAGACAATTTTACCAAATGATTACAACTACCGAAATGTTCTTGGACAAAGAATTGGATTGAGTATAGGAGATGTGAAGAGAATTAATTCAATGTATAAGTGCGATCAAGTCAATCAATTTTATTAGATAACCTTTTAGTAGTATAATGTCACAATCACTTTTGATTAAGGGGGAACAGCGTGGTGGAAAAAAGTTTTGATGAGATATCGCCATCAATTAACCCAGCACGATGAGAAATCTTAAAATTGTTTTGTAGAAGTTAGTAGAAAACTTCTCATCAAAACTGTTACCCATCATGTTGTTATCCCCCTTACTTCTGATTAAAGCAACAAATCAAATAAAAGCAAATTGTTTTTTACTTGATGGTTTATAAATGACGTCCAATTTTTTAGAATAAGATGAGAAGTGGGTCTTAAAAATTCAAAAATCACATTCATTAGGAGACGTATGCTTGCTGTGGGACGCGAAGAGTTCATGATTTTGTAACATTTTGTAAAACAGCATCTAGGGTACAATTCAGATACTGATTCTATCGTCGATAAGGATCGCAGTGCCTTGAGCTCGTCGCACCGTGTAGATACACATCGCTTGGCTCAACCCTCTCACTTTATTACCTAGGGGGCTGTACATAAATGACATCTATCGAAATTAAGATTTTACCAACAAACCCCCCCCCCCCCCCTCCCCTTATACAAATTTATTTTGCTTGAATCGTAGCAAAATCTTAAACCCCACTCCCCCCAAAAGCATTACGTAATAAGTGTACTGCCCTATAATGGACCCGTGGGTCAGCAAAAAAAGAAAAATAGATATTCAAGGACATCCATTGTTTTCTTTTGAAAAATGACCGTTAATTTCGGACGTCATATGTGATCGACCCCTAAGGAAATATTCATAAATGACAGGACATCTATCAAAAGTTGAGATCCAACATTATTAATCAAAAGAGCCTCTCCCCCTAAAAGTTCAACGTCATTTATGAACAGCTCCTCAGTAATCGGCTCCATTTGAGATTTGTTTATTTTATTCGTCGCTTTTTCGAAAAATCGATTATGTCAAAATTAACAATAAAATTAAAATTAATATGAATTAAGAGCCATAATCACTTCTGAAGAAGACAGTCTTATCATGTTGACAATACTCTCTGTAAATAAATTAATATTATTAGTTGTTGATTTTCATTCATCGAGTTCAAAAGCAATGAAATATTTCTTAATTTTGATTTTTGCATTTAAAGTTTTATCATTTCCAACTCCGAATGAACAAATAATTTTTCCTGATCAATTCAAGGAATTCAAGCAAATGTTATTGGATGATTTTAAAGCTAATCAGATGAGTTTAGTGAATGATTCTAATATCCTCATGTCTGATAACATGACAATAGAGTTTTTAATTGATTCAGACGGATTCAAAAACTTTGAAGATGGTGAATATTTTCAAGGTGACATGGTGATGCTGGATGAGCAGTTGAATATTTTAAATGATTCCACTGATATGACATACCGAACTGGAATAATTGGTGAAAAATATCGATGGCCAAAAAATTCCGATGGAAAAGTTATTGTTCCTTACGAAATTTCAGATCATTTTGGTAAGTTTATGATCAATTTAAAGCTATATGCAGTTCCAATGCTAGCAAACAGAAATTTTTGAGTTCTTATTATTCGAACTTCGAATTTTTTGAGGTTCTTATTTTTCGAAAATCGAATCTTCGAAGTTCTTATTTTTAAAAAAAAATTCGTTGTGAATTATTATTTTTCGAGTAATTTGTAATTTTAGTGAACATTCCTAATAGTTTTTATGAATAAGATAATCACTGTGATGAAATTGCATTCCTTAAATGTTTATGCTTTAAAAAACAGCTAAATTAAAAAAAAAAATAAAAAGTAACGGACTTTCTTATTTTGAAATTTTAAAAAAATACCGCGCGAAAATTTTGAATTTTTTTTGCTTGTAACGGACTCTGTTCTCTTTGCTAACATTGGATGCAGTTTAAAGAATAGTCAAGAAAGTCAAACTGAGGGTACGACAGGTAGTTACCTCTGATATAGGTTAGGCCTTGATGTAGGTTAGGTCATGGCGTAAGTTAAGCCATTGTAAGATCTTGATGTAGGTTAGGTCTTGGTGGAGGCTTAAGTGTATATTGAGTTTATAATATATTAACTTATTATGTTAAATTTTAGGTTGGAAAGACAAAGCTCGAATCAAACTAGCGATGTATGGCATTGAAAAGTTCACATGCATTGAATTCCAGACACGTACTGATCAAAGTGACTACATTAATATTATATCAGGTTATGGATGTCATTCACATGTTGGGAAAATTAACGGAGCCCAAAGACTTAGTCTTCGCATTGGTGGATGTTTAGCTCGAGGAACCATCATTCACGAATTGATGCATGCACTCGGATTCGATCACATGCACAATCATGTTGATAGAGATGAATTTGTAGAAATTCAATGGGATAATGTCAAACATGGAGCTGAACAAAATTTTAAAAAAGTAGATTCACGTTTGTTTGGGAACTTTGGAACATCTTATGACTACTATTCAGTTATGCATTATGGCTTGAAATATTTCTCAAAAAATAAAAGACCAACTATGGTGCCGAAAGATTCATCAAAAAAGAAAATTATCGGAAATAGAGTTGCACTGAGTGTAGGAGATGCAGAGAGACTTAATGCGATGTATAAATGTAATGGACCTCCCAATACTTCATACAGTTTAAGATTTTTTAGTTGGATTTTAACTTAAAATGTGCAAAGCAGAGTTGAAACAAGTAGTGAGACAATTGTCAGTCTACCCTAGAATCATCAATAGCACACAAGTGTGCTAAAACTGTTCAATGTCATTTACGATCGATGGTGACTGGTAGCTGATGACTGACCATATTGTATCCGTAGACAGACAATTAAAATCACTGTGGTCTACTCCTTTTGAAGCAGTTATAATAGTGATGATTATTGATAGTATTGTTATTATATTAGTTAAGTTAAAATGTCTGGCTACATCCCTGTCTAATGGGAAATCAGGGAGAAGTTTTCAAATTTTATATTTCCCATCATGTTGTTTTCCCCTTGCCAACCTTTAATTTCATTTTCAAAATATTTTTCAATCTCATTTGAAATTTTTGTTTTCGCAACAATGCTTCAGGCTGTTTGAAAAAGAGAATATTTATTTTCAAAATAAATTCATCAAATAAAGTGAAATGTACAAAGGCATGTTCATGTCCTAAATGCCTCCACTCTAACCAGCATTTCAGCATCGTTCTACATCTCAAGGATCATGATCCGAGCGACACAACATCGCAGTAGTGGTTTTGTGGTTGTCACATGGCTGTTACATGGCTGCTACGTGGCTCTCACGTGGCTGTCACATGGCTGTCACGTTGCTGTCACGTGGCTGTCACATGGCTGTCACATAGCAATTCATGCGATTTATCAATAGAAAACAACATGATGGGAAAAGTATGATTGAAAACTATTAGAAATAAAAGAAAATTAATGAGAATTTTTTAAGGAAATGTTTACCCACCATGTTGTTTTCCCCTTCGTGCTACCATAAGACTGACATTGTCAACGTTGTGCCGCTCGGATAACTGAATGTGAATTTATCACATATATGATTCACATGCATGAAATGGTGGCTATATGCAGCACTTTCTGAGAGCTGTGTGCATGCATTTGAAGTAACTTAATTATTGGCAAATGCACATCCACACACACACACACATACACATCCATCCGAGAATGAAAAATGGTTTGAATTTATGTTTCATCATCTGTGAAAATGGCATAAAAATAGTGAATATCCAGGTGTGTTAAATGCGAGGCTGTTTATGCTGTATTGTTCATCATTACACTGCATAAAATACATTTTCATTTAATTAGAGAGAAAGAGAGATGCGAATGTGTGTCAGATTAAAGCCTCGTATCATCATCTTTTTCATCACTGTGATGATAAATTAAATTCTTATTTTACCGTGCCATTTTTATGCTGAATCATTTAGTTGATGTTTTCTGGTAATTTGTTTCGGAAAAATTAATTAATTAAGGAATTAAATCTTCTTTTGTGGCAATTAATTCTGATGAGTGATTTGGTATTGATATGTGGAACTAAGAGGGGGGCGGGGGATTATTGTCATTTGATATGAGATTATATGTCAAAAATGCGCTCTATTCATTTCAACTCTTCTATTTTCTTACTTGTTAAAAATTCATTAAAGCTTAATTCCAAGATTTTGGTCAACCTCCTGCTTAAAAGCAAAGTCCTTGTTAAAATCCAAAAAATGCGCTCTATTCATTTCAACTCGTCTATTTTCTTACTTGTTAAAATTCATTGGAGCTTAATTCCAAGATTTTGGCCAACCTCCTGCTCTAAAGCAAAGTCCTTGATAAAAATCCAAAAAATGCGCTCTATTCATTTCAACTATTCCACTTTCTTACTTGTTTAAAATTTATTTAAGCTTAGATCCAAGACTTAGCTCAACCGCCTCCTCCATAGCAAATTCTTTGAGGAATTCCAAATATGCGCTTTATACCCACCCAACCCAAAATAACTCCCTTACTTCTCACACTTAATTTTCCATTTCTTCTACTTTCCTTTTTCAATTTTCATCTTTTCATCCAAAAATTAAATTTCATTTTTCAATTGATTTCCTCAACATAACTTAATTAAGAAACTTTTTTCCTTTTGTTGTTCTAGTTTAAAGTTTTTCTCATCCGCTCATGACCGAAAAAGGGAAAAGTAACAACCCCAAAATAAAAACTGAAAATTCTATTCACATCTTTTGCAGAGCGACGACAATAGTTTGTGAACTTTACTCTTTTTGAAACAGCAAATAATGAAGAGAAAGCATTCAAGCTTGAGCGTCTTTTGGATATTTTTATTTGTTGAAAACTTTGTTGTTGGAGCTTTTTTTTTTGGGAAATTAAGTTTTGTGAAGCATTTTTTTGGTAGGGACGTGACTTTCGTTTTGGGAATCATTCATGGGATGTAAAGATGGATGAATAGCTGATTGATTAGGTCTTATTGACTGGCTGGTTTGCTAGCTGGATGATTTGAAAAAGTGAGGTTATATTTCTTGACCAAAGCGTTTATAGCGGAACTATTTCAGAACCTACCTCCACTATCATTTAGCTTTATGTCTACCTTTGTAATAAATCCATCAAATGCACCACAAACCCAATTCAACACCAAACTCTCTACTTATTCTTGATTATTATTTCTCAAACAGTTTCAATGTAGCTTAAATGCTGAACTTTAAATCCATTTTCATAAGGTTTTAAATTCTGTTGGTGTATATGTACGTATGTTTTCCTTTGTGGTAAGGTGTAGAAACTTTCTCATATATTTTACATTCAATTAATTTTTTTGAAAACTTGTTCATTTTGTGGCTGTAAAATAATTTAAAATTGAATGAGAGGATTTTAAGGACTGAGATATAAATGGTTTTTAAACATTTTCTGTTGAGGATGTCAGGAGAAGGAAAGTAAATAAATTTTGCTAAATGAAAATGTTGAGGTCGAGAGGTGAGAAAACAATCAAGATTTTTAAGAGCTTTTCAAATAGAAAATTTACTTTTAAATTTTAATAATTCGGGTTATTTCACTCATTTCCATAAGACGCCAAACAGAAACGTTCAATAATCCACAGCTTTATTCTTGAAAGAGTCTTTAAGCCAAAAATATTCTTTAAAGTACCAAAAATTATTCCACAAATAATTTATATTTCAACAATGCTCACAACAACAATAAAGATTGCGAATCTCAAGGAACGAAAGGAATTTATTTCTTCTTCTCCTCTTCACTTTCCTGCGTTTATTTGTTCCCTGCCGCTGTTGCTTTTGAAAATACTCGCGAGGGAAGAAAATATTTTTGGCTAAGGAATAAAATTGGAGGTTAATTTAAGGGAAAGAAGCGCTTTTATTAAAGAACAATCAAAATTTAACGGTTTTAGGAAATTTAAATTTAAACGGTTTTTAAAAATTCAAATTTTAACGCTTTTCTGAAACTCAAATTTTAACCGTTTTCTGAAAGTCAAATTATATCGGCAAACAAAAACTCAAATTTTAACATTTTTTTTTATTTAAATTTCAACAGTTTTCTGAAATTCAAATTTTGTCGCTCTTCTGATGTTCAAATTTTAACAGTTTTATGATCTTAACGGTTTGAATCTTAATTCAAATCTTAACGGTTTCTGAAATTCAAATTTTAACGGTCTTCTGATATTCAAATTTTAACGAAAATCTGAAATTCAAAATTTGACAGTTTTCTGAAATTCAAATTTTATCATTCAAAAAGTCCAAAATGATTCAGACACCAAAATAGCGACCCAAAAGCTTTTGTTTCCCAATATACTGAACACACAGAAAATAAAAAGTTTCACATCCAAATTTGTGTATGTCTGCTTATGTACATTAGAGCACCTTTTCTCTTTTGAATTTCACTTTTTCCTTTTCATTCTCCCCACCAAAAAATTAACTTCCATGCTTACGAATTTCGAAAAATGTTTTTTCATACATCAAAGGATCTTTATCGCATAGGATTTTCCACTCACAGCTTTTAATGAACGACCAAGATTTGCGGGTAAATGATGATGAAGATTATGAGAAAATTTTGGAAGTGAATTGAAGTCATTTGAAATTATATTTTTTGTGCTTCCTTTTAACGGAACTGAGGATGCTTTTTGGGCTTTTGTGAGCGGTTCAGTGATTTTTTTTCTTGTGAATAGATTTGAATGTTGAATCTTCATTAAATGGGTGATGTTTGAGATTAAGAGATTTTTGATTTTGTTTTGTAAAATTTGCAAAATGTGAAGGTTGAAGGTTGGAATTTTTCAAAACCTTTTAAAGCTTTGAATTCTGTGAGATTAATGAGTTTTAAATTTGGATGATGTTTTGAACTATGTGCTGCTGTTGTTGATATTAAGGAAGCAGCTATAGTTTTTGCCCCACAATCCCCCTCTTCATGAGTTCTATACACTCCAAAGCTCAACATAGCATGGAAGTAATCCAACACCAAATCAATAAATTCCCAACTATTCAAATTGCAAATCATTTACATCCTGAATAAGGAATAAGAAGCCAGAAAAGAAGCATAAAGTAAAGAAACAGAATTGAATGGCAATATGAGGAAGAAGCTGAAAGGATCAATAAGAAAAGAAAATGTAAAAATTTAGAAATTTATTTTTATATCTTTTCACATCGTAGTCAATACGCTAAACCAACTTTTGTGTTCAGGTAACGAAAATAGAATTATTTTATATCCACAAAAGGATGCATAGTGATCCCCAAAAGAGGATAAAGTAGTCTGAATTTTTTTATCCTAGAGTATTTATGCACAGATCTTTAATTCTACAACATTTTTTCATATTTTTTGAATCTATAAATTTTACAAATTTTTAAACGCATCTTTTACAATCATTTTAAATATTTTTTGTCCTTTATTTTTCAAATATTTGTTTAACGTTATTTTTTGAGCATTTTCTCATCGTTAATTTTCAAATATTTTTTATCCATTAATTTTCAAATATTTTATGATCATTATTTTTCAAATTATTTTTATCCGTTAATTTTTCAAATTTTTTATAACCATTATTTATTCTCAATACTTAATATGCGCTTTAATCGATCACAACACATCTAAGTTTAATCTAGTTTTATCCTATCAAACATATTGGAATGAAATGGATTATGTTATGAAGCAACCTATGAGGCTGATTAAAATAAATTATTTAAATTGTGCGTAACAAAATTATGCAGTTGGGATACATTTTTCAATAGAAAATTATGCAAAAAAAAAATCATCAATTTAAATCTAACTTCATTGAATTTTTATGAGGATGCGGTTTCGGATAGACATTAAATATCGAATTATATTTTAATTAAATTTAATTGTTTGGAAACTTTTTTCACACAGTTGATGTTGATTATTTAGCAGGAGGAAAATCAGATTAAAATTCAATAGTTTTGTGGACATTTAACAGAAAAAATTAGAGGCTTGATTCCTTCTACGCCCTATTAATTATTGGCAATTCATTTAAACCTTGTTTCTGATTTTCAATTCATGCAATAAAAACAGCAGATTAGAGTCGCAAAAAACAGAAACTATTGCGTTTTCGACATCTTTTGCTGATTTAGTTCTAGTTCTATTTGTTTCAAATTTATTTGTCTGATTATTGACTAATCAAATCAAGGCGTGGAAACTATCCCAAATATCCCATATATCCCAAAAATATTCAAAAAAATTCCTGCGCGTGTATGCATTAGAATTGAGATATCCCATCATATCCTGAAATTACACGTCCAATACACTAAGATTACGTTCGGATATCTTTATTATTGTGCATACATGCTCAGGAATTTTTTGAATATTTTTGGGATAGTTTCCACGCCTTGAATCAAATATAATCAACAAGTCAACTCTCTTCTCTCGAGAGCATTAAAATCATATTTAATATTCATGCATGATAGACATAATCTTGAGAAGCACAATGTGGTCATAAAGGCATCAGCCACGTTGCTGAGTTGCGTAGCATGTTTGAGGGGTAGCCGACTATCGATGGAAAGCCTACATATTGGAAAATTGATGAAAATATTTCCTATAATGCTATTTTCAACTCGCTTAGGCTCTGATCTTTATTTTGCATGAGCGACAAAAACTCTGGTGGGAATAAAACTAAAGCCTTAACAAAAGAAGGTTACAACTGTTCGGAAAGTTGTCGAACCACACGACCACAGAGGCCTTACTTTTGCTCTAGCAAAATAACCTGCATATAACTCGATACCCCAGATTCCACTCTGCTTGTTGTCATCTTATATCCCAATGCAAGCAAACAGAAATTTTTGAGTTCTTATTATTCGAACTTCGAATTTTTGAGGTTCTTATTTTTCGAAAATCGAATCTTCGAAGTTCTTATTTTTAAAAAAATTCGTCGTGAATTATTATTTTTCGAGTAATTTGTAATTTTAGTGAACATTCCTACTAGTTTTTATGATTAAGATAATCACTGTGATGAAACTGCATTCCTGAAATGTTAATGCTTTAAAAAACAGCTAGTTTTAAAAAAATAAAAAGTAACGGACTTTCTTATTTTGAAATTTTAAAAAAATACCGCGCGAAAATTTTGAATTTTTTTTGTTTGTAACGGACTTTGTTCTCTTTGCTAACATTGGCTTATATCGCTCAAAAACTCTCTTCTTTTTGACACACAAAAAAAAATAATTACGCGTCCACAAACCAATTTAAATTCTCATTTACTCAACAATTGACTTCTACATCTTCATTGTGTTTGTATGCGACGGTAGATGCGAGAACTTTAAATGAATTTTTTTTTGTAAGTCTTCTTCTATTAGTTTAGTCGCCTTATCGCACTTGAACAATTTATTCACATTACCGTCATTTTGGAGCAGAGAATTTCTAAAGTAAGAGAAAAAAACAATTTAAGGGAAATTTTATCAGAATTTTTGGTTTCGAGCAGTTTGAAGGTTTTTATGGAGAATCTGTAAAGTAAGCAAAGTGTTGATTAAGCTGTGAGAATTGACAATTTCAAGCTAATTTCTATTCTGTTAAATCTCTAAATTTGTAAAGGGGCCGTTTACTTATGACGTCCAGGGGGGGGGGGGATCAGACAGAAAAAAACAATAGAAATTCCTGGAAATACATTGTTTGTTTTTGAAAAATGACCGTTAATTTCGGACGTTATAATTGAACGGCCTCAAAAAAAAACTCATCACAAGGAACAAGCAAAATCTCATACAACATAAATTAACCCAACAAGAATGGATAAGTGGAGTGGAAAGACAGCAATTGTGACGGGTGGATCATCAGGAATTGGTGCAGCAGTCGCATCAGAATTACTATGCAATGGCATGATTGTAATCAACTTGGATAGAAACATAGATGAGACGATGGTTGAAGAAATAAACAATAAGATGTCCACCGGAGGTGGAAAGCTGTATGCAAACAAATGTGATATATCAGATATGAAGTCCCTTAAGGAGACATTCAAATGGATTGAAGAGACGTTCTCGTCTGTGAATGTTCTCGTAAATTGTGCAGGTCTTGGACATAATATACCCGTATTAAGTGACAGAGATGATGCAACCGAGAAGATAAATGACACGATTGATGTGAATTTTACTGCTTGTATTCATGCTACACGTGAAGCTGTGAGATTGATTAAAAAATCTCAAGATTATGGAATGATTATTAATGTTGCATCGCTGTTCGGTCACATTATTCCATTTCCAATTGTTGGTAATGTTTATGCAGCAACGAAATATGCTGTTCGTGCATTTTCTGAGATTGTGCGACAAGAATTAATTATCAGCGGATGTGAAAAAATTAAAATATCCAACATAAGTCCAGGAACTGTGAAGACAAATGTGAGAACATAGTTGGAAGTGCTCGTTAACATTTAATTAACTTAATTCTTTCTTTTTGCAGGTGCGAGTGACAGGTGGGTGGGAAAATACAGAAGAATTTTACAAGAACCGACCATACTTGGAACCAAAGGAAATTGGAAGTGCTGTTTTATATTTGCTAAGCACGCCTTACAATGTTAATGTCACTGAACTTACTATACGACCTGTGGGCGAGAAATTTTGAATAAAACTACATTTTGCATTAAGTTATAGGTTTTGTATCGTTGAAAAATGAAGATTTTAGGTACCTAGCTTTTTGGCTCGCATGCCTATGCCTTGAATCAGTGTTTAAGTATGTGAATGACACTATATGATTAAAAATGAAAGTTATCAGCTGTGTTATGATTTCAAAGTTGGCCCCCTAGTTCACTTTTTAAACAAAACAATGTTATCAGCCATAAATGATTACGGGTACGTCGAAATGCTATTCATGAATGATTCTGACTGTCAATTCTCTTCTTGTTGATTAGCTTTTAGGACAGTGTCTTCAAATTTTGAAGCATGGCTATTATGGTTTTAAATGTTGCTACTAATAAGCATGCAGGTTTTGTTTTCATTAAGCTCATGGATCAAACTAAACTTAGTGACCCACATGTAAGGTTCAGGTTGTGAAATGTAGCACGAAAAGAACAACTACTTCGTTCCGTAATATGCGAACTCTACCTACTATATCAACATCAATGGTCTTCTTATTATTATTTTCACTGCCTTATCACAAGTTGACCCGTATTAAAATAGATTGAAGAAAAAGAAGCTGGCGATTATTTTAAAAAAAATTTTAAAAGTCATTAACATTTATTATACGTTTTTAACTCATTGTTTTGACATTAAACCTATTTATTAACCTTAATCAAAAAGTTTTTTAAATCAAAATTCACAAAAATTTCTACAAACTTCTTATAAGGAATCGTTGACTAATGACGTCCGAAATTAACAGTAATTTTTCAAAAAAGAACAATTGATTTCCAGGAACTTCTATTGCTCTTTTCTTGCTGACCCCCCCCCCCCTTCCCCTCTGGACGTTATAAGTAAACGGCCCCTTTACAAATTTAGAGATTTAACAAAATAGAAATTAGCTTGAAATTGTCAATTCTCACAGCTTAATCAACACTTTGCTTAATCAACGGCTGGCTCCTAACTCAATCCCCCCAAAAATTAATTTAAATTAACTTATCTCTAACAAAATTGACGAGCAATGGCTTATCAGGTTGTATAATTGCAGCTTTTGAGCTTACGTTAATTTCAGAAGGTGTCGATGGTGATGCCTCAAGTCGATAATCTCTTAAAATCTTAACCAGCATTGTCTTCATTTGAACGTAAGCAAATCTTTCACCGATGCAGATTCTGTTGCCAGCTCCAAAGCCTGGAAATAGAACCAATAAAAGTTGTTAAGGAGCGTCCCAAACAATGGATAAAACTCACCAATAAACGAGCACTGCGGCAAATTCTGCTTATTCTCCGGACTAAATCGATCAGGATCGAATTTCATTGGATCTGGATAAAATTTCTCATCACGATGAAGTGGAAATGCTGGCATGTACAACTGCATTTTGTATGGAATCCTAAAATTAGAATAAGGCTCAAGTGAATATCCATTTGGATCTGTACATTCACGATCAATCCACGGAACAACTGGATATAATCGAATAGCTTCAAGTAGCACTTGATATAGATATGGTGTTTCATTCATGACGCCATCGTAAGTGACTTCGCCGTTGTGATTTTTAAGCATGTCTTTAATTTCATCACGAACTCGATCCTGAATGTGAGGATTTCTGACTAGCTCGTAGATTGCAAATGATGATGATGAGCTTGAGGTTTCAAAGCCAGCTGAAATTGAAAATTTTTCAATGCATTTTAATTAGGGGGTAAACATCCAGGTGAGGAAATATTATAATATGTTGAATTTTAATAAAAACGTTCGACTTTAGCCTTCTTTTGGTTATGTATTTTCTCCTAAATTGACCCAAGGGGAGAACAACATGATGGGTATTTTTATTTCCCATCATGTTGTTTTCCCCTTGACTCACTCATACATCTTTTGGTTATGTACCTGCTCCTAAATTTACTCAAGGGGAGAACAACATAATGGATATTTTTATTTCCCATCATGTTGTTTTCCCCTTGACTCACTCATACATCTTTTGGTTATGTACCTGCTCCTAAATTTACACAAGGGGAGAACAATATAATGGGTATTTTTATTTTCCATCATGTTGTTTTCCCCTCGCCTCACTCATACCTCTCTATATGACAATAGACCTTCTCTGTAAAAAAAATTTCAATTTCCTTCTCACCAATAAAGAAGACAGCAGCTTGAGCATAGAGCACATCATCATGTATAGGTTTACCATCAACATCACGAATGTCCATTTTCTTCAATTCATTTAAAATGTCAATCAAGTCGTGTCGAACTTCTCCAGTCTTCTGTCTCTCCTCCATAACATGCTTAACATTTGTTCGAATGAAATCAGAACTTTCGTCGTCGAATCGCTTGTAGCCAAGAAACGGGACAATTTCGGGTCGTGTTGTTTGCAAGAATCTTCCCAATCCACTAATAAAGCTGAACGTGTAGAGTCTCTTACCAACTTGCCTGAAACCACTATCAGGATTCTCCAATGTATTTGCTTTTAATCCGTATGCAGCTGATGCAATAACATCCGTTGTGTACATTGCTGCCACTTCTCGCACATTCATTTCAATTTTATCACTTTTTTCTGGAATCTTTTTATCAATGAAGTTTATTAAATCTGTACTCAATGTATCCATTATATAAAATATTTTCTTCAGCTTTCCGCTCGAGAAAAATGGCGTTACTTTCTCACGTAGATTCTTCCAGAGTGGATTTTTCAGGAAGATTAAATTGTATTTTCCCAATGGATCAGCATCATCTGAAGGTGATGAAGAAGAAGAAAATATAAATGAAAATGGGAAAATAAATTTATGTGATTTTTATACAGCTTTAATGGAGTAAGGTTCAGGATGTGTTTGTTTGTCAATAAAGAAGGAGATAGAAAATATACAATTGAACATGCGATGTGCGGTGAAAAATGGTATTGAAGATGGAATGAGATTTAAAGGATAGATGTGCATGAAAGTTTGAACTAAAATATTATTTTGAGTTATGTTTTGTGATGTAAAATTAAAGGGCAGTGTCAGTTCTGACTGTCTGATACTCAAATACTCTGCTAGCTTTGTCCTTTCCAATCCAATTTTTAGCTTAAAATGCGTGTGCTATGTTTTAGAAACTATAATCAAAAGAATTTTCTTGATCGATCACTCCCTCTTCAAGAAAAAGCAATAAAACTTTTTGAGGTGAGCTACGTAAAATTACTAAACGTAACGTAATACGTACGTAATATTTCGTCAAGTAAGAAAAATATGGAACAATGAATTTTTCTATATTTATGCTTCCGTCGCAATAAATTTGAAATTATAAATAGAAGCATGTTTGCAACCTTGAAGATTTCCCTCAAACTTCAAATAATCATATTCACAAAAACTCACTAAAATACTCACATGAAGCAGTCACACGATTACTAAAGCTATTAAAATCCTTTATCATAATTCTCTTAATCAACTCTGGATCTTTAATCACCAATGCAGGTCGTTGAAAAATATAAAATCCAAAAAATGGAACATCTTTCACTTCCGGTCGCGTGTACAATCGCAATACATTCTCAAAGAATCCACATTTTTTCAAAAGTGCATCACTCAAGCCTCCAAGAAGAACGTTTGTCTGTACATATGGAATATTGTGACGTTTAAAGTACGTTTGCTGCCAATAAAGCCATAGAAGAAATAGTACGAAGATTAATGCGATTAGAATCAAGACACCCATTGTACTGGAATGTTGATTATAGACTGAATAATGGAAATGAGTTTGAAGTTTATAAGTCGCTAGATTATTTACTTATTTGAGAGCTAATGAGAGGATTGTGAGATTTACAGTTCTGTTTTCATGTCCAAATTGAGATTGATTCTTAATCAAAATTCAAAGGTCAGAACCTTTTGAATCAATAGTACCTGAAGACTGATGCTCTTGATGATTAGTGACAGTTTGTGTATTTAAGCTAGTCACAGTCATCAACATCATAACACTGAATGTCATTAACTTATAATTATACAAAATTGCCATTCAATAGCTTCAAAATATCGTCCTTATCATTGCCAAATGAGATGCAAGCATGTGTCAAACCTCTTGTCACTAAAATCGTTCAGTTGACCTTAATAATCTTTAATCAATTTGAAATTTTCTATCGACATGAACTCAATTATCAACAAACTACAAAATTTGATACTAATTCAATAATCATTGAACTGAAACTCATTAATTTATTTTGGCACATAATAATGCAACATGATACAAAATAAGTTTTAAAATATTTTGTTGTTTTGATCTGTGACATGTGAACAGCCATCAAGAGCTCTTTCCTCTTTCGATAAGAGCTGTATCGAATTTTCAATCTAAAATTAATTAACATTAAAATGATTTTGTCAATTTATGCTTCAAATATTTTAACAAAAAGCTCATTCATCATCCGGATAACAGTCTTTGCTCTACATCAATATACAAGATCTCAATGACATAAAAAAATACTCATCATTCTCGTGTCAAAAGAGGTGTTGTATATTTTTTGGATTGAATGAAAAATGTTTCATCAGCAGCAGCAACAACAAAAGTGATAAGCACGTTAGAGTTAAATTTTGCTTGCTTTTTACGTCGGGGTTTGGGTTTTTTTTTTGGGTTGTTGTCAATAGTTTTGACACCTTTTTCAAAAACTACAGAAATAGAAAATAGTTTAGAACGAAACTTAAGAAGCCCTATTAATTTGTAAGCTCAGAATTGCCTTCTTCAAGTCATTCATTCAGTCAATAAGTTGAAATCTGGTTCAAAAATCTCTTCCACAAACGTTTTTTCTACAAAACTTGTTGAAAACTACAAATTTTATTCTTTTTACTAAAATGCACCTTTATTTAGCAGCTTGTCGAAAATTAAATGCTTAATATGCAAGAAACTACAATAATAGCTGCATTAAACAGTAAAATTAGTTGCTAAACTAGTAAACAACAGCTTAGAGTGTCTAATAATTAAGTTAAAGTTAACTTTTGACGATGTTTTCACAAAAATTACATCAAAGAATGAAAAATCATAACAAATCAAAGGGGTGAGCAACTACGTGTTTTCAAATCAAAATTCAAAAATTATTTGGCCGTTGTTTAGTCTATGTACAGTTTTTATCGAAATTTGTAAACAGTTTGACTAAAATGGTCTATTAATGCGTAAACAAAAGACTCGTTCTGATCTAGAAATGTCAGCAAAACGAATCCACACCCAAAACCTCAAGCAAATCTACACAATATCCATACATCAACCCATTAAAGCGCATCCCCAACTGTCGAAAAATTCTTTTGTATTCCTGAAGCCAAGCCAAAATACGAGATGAAAATTGTTTTGACAAAAAGAGTGACTTTAGTCATTTGAAGCAGTAAGAACGAGATGTTAAAAGCTTTCATCATACAAGCTCAAAAATGTTAAATTAAAATTAAATCTTCATATCTTTCTACATTCACGAAATTTCTTTTATTTTCATCTCCATAACTTGAAATTATGAAAGATTGAAGATGAGAATGCATTCAAGTGCATGCAAAAGACTTGATTTTCATGTATGCTCACGTTGAATTAAAATTGAAAGAATTTTTTTAATATCGTAAAATTTTATTCACAATGAAAAAAAAAGAATGAAAAAAATGAACGAGTTGAAATTGGAAGTCATCAAAAATTTTGATCGTCGCTTTTATTTTTGCTCGTGAAATTATAGAATGGATATATGAAAGAGAATAAGATTTAATTTGCATGAAAAATCATTAAAATCAATTTTCTTTTTATAGAAGATTCTTGTGTAGGTTGCTCTATTTTTAAGGTTATCATTCAATTTTCTTGAGTTTTTAAAGCACAGTTGATATCTGGTACGGTACGGTATTATAGATTCTATCATCGATCTTGATCGCAGTGCCTTCAGCTTGTCGCAACGTGGAGTAACATCATTATTGATCTCTGGTCCACTGAAGGTTGTTTAAGCACATAACCTAGCAGTCTTAACCTAGTCATTGAACTCTTAGATTCGACAACGATTCTATTCTTAACACCAGCATCAAGTTCTCAGTAAACACAAAAGAATCCAAAACATTTCTCAATCGCAAACTTTTCACTCTATTCTTCTTCCTTTTACGATAAACTCTCGCTTATCCAGCTATGATTATTTAGAGGAAAAAAAATTAAATTTCATGCTTGAAGGCCTAGAATTGATGGACGTCGAAAATCTTAGAGTGGAAAATATTTTAAATAAATCATGACTAGAAAGAATTTTTGAGTAGCAAGAAAAACACTGAAACTCATCTAATCATCTATTCATGGCACAATGATAAGCCAATCCTTTTTATTATCTTCACAATATCTACAATCATTGACTTACTTCATTATATCTCTTCTTTTTCTTATACTCTATTTAAATTTTAAGGTTCTTTGCTATTACTCAACCGCAGTCGCTTGACGTAAGGCATTGTAAATCATCAAAAACAAATGTACGCAGTGCAATTAGATAAGGCGCGATACTTTATAGATAAAAATGCGCAAAAAAACATTTCCTTGTTATCTTTGTTTGATGTTTGTGCAGACGAATTATGCAAGTTTGTGTCATTATTTTGTGCTGTAATTACAATTAGTGATAAGAAATACATTGTTGATTGAGTTTTGGATGAATCGTGGATAGATTGTGATTCATATTGAATTACGATTTTGTTTGTTGACATCAATGCTGATAAAGATAGAGTTGGAATAATTATGGGAAGTTTAATTTGTTTGAAGCTTAGCTTGGGAGTGGAAATGCTTTTCTAATGCTAATTCCTCTTATAACTCTTGTTTTAGAGCCATATCATGGATATCACCAAATGATACTATTCAGATTAAGTTAATAATCGATTTAGCGCTTTGTAAAGCTTTGAAGACAACCCGAGATCTCTTATCGTGAAAGCAATAGTCAGAAATCGTAAGTTCAAGAGTTTGAATCCTATCGGTTGCTCGTTAAGTGCTGGGTTATCCTAGAATACACTTAAGCCTGTACTCCTTAGACAGTTGTGATCAACTTGTGTGCCAAGGTACACTAATGTGCCGCAGAAGTGGCTAATGAATGTGGTGAAAGAATTCCAATGTTTGGAGACTGCTCTAGGACACACATTTATTCTATAAGGCTTGTATAACTTGGTATAACTAGCAAGAGTAGAGCATATCCTAGATTGTATGTTACTACCGACCACCAGATCTCAACTAAGTGAGATTTAACATGACATTGCATAAGGAACAAACCAATCCAAACATTGTCTTGAATCTTCCAAGATTGCGCGCACCCCAAACGTCTCTTTTCTGAAAATCAAACAAATCAAATTATTCAAAACAACACAAACGAACATAACTGTCAATCCAGTCCTTTAAATAAATAAATAAATCACATCACAACTCCTCAAAATTCCCTTTCATCTCGAAAAAAAAATAAATTCTTAAAAACTCAGCTCAATCAGAATTTACGATATCCGCAAATAATCCCCGAGGAAAATAAAACAATCGATCCATTTTCTCATGAAAACTCTTGTTACAGCCTATAAATGGAACTTTGCCTGTTTACATGAAATTTCATGAATATTTTAATAACCTCAAGATTCGAAGATGAATAAGAAATGAATATTGATACAGTTGCTGACTAATTTTTTGGATGTTTTGAACTTTTTTTCAGATAAAAACTTGATAAAGCTAATGTAATAAGAAGGTTGGCGGTTTTGTAGTTGTTAAAAGGTTCCGTTCACTTATGATCGTCAAGGGGGGGGGGGGGGAGGGTCGGAAGAAAAAACAATAGAAATTTCTGGAAATCCATTGTTCTTTTTAAAAAATGACCGTTAATTTCTTAACCTATACCCAACCTATGCCTAACCTATACCTAACCTATACCTAACCTATACCTAACCTATACCTAACCTATACCTAACCTATACCTAACCTATACCTAACCTATACCTAACCTATACCTAACCTATACCTAACCTATACCTAACCTATACCTAACCTATACCTAACCTATACCTAACCTATACCTAACCTATACCTAACCTATACCTAACCTATATCTAACCTAAACCTAACCTAAACCTAACCTAAACCTAACCTATACCTAACCTAAACCTAACCTATACTAACATGAAAATGCCGTTAAAATATTTGAATTTGAAAAATACGTTAAAAACAAATTTTTCTTAAAATTATTATTTATGCTGTGTTTTTTGTCGATGACACTAACCTATACCTAACCTACCAACCATCCAGCTTTGCCATTTATTAAATCTATTCAGATGTTGACCTTCGGAAATCTTCTCACAATCGCTTCAGCAAATAAGATTAAAATTTAATTGTCATGAAATTAGTTCGACTGTAAGTCTGCAATTGTTTCAATCTCCTTTTGGATTCGAGCACTCAAGAAAGATATTTTAATTAAATTATGCCTTAAAGCTACTTAATTTGAAAGCAAATCAATTGAAAACGTTTCTTTATGAATTGGAATTCTTAATGCAATTAAGAGTCTTAGGAACTGAAAATCGAACGAAGCTTTAAAAGAAAGAAATTTTCTTTAAATTATTCAGTACAATTTCCGTCCAGAAAACTTCATTTCATGCTTCTTTTTAATCTCAACTAACTTTAACAGCTCAATTTAATAATGCTTTTATGGACATGAAAATAAAATTTTGTTATTATTGCTGTAATGTCATCATCATTTCCATTATAAGTAATTATGT